ACTCATGGAGACCCTGCTTTCGCCGTCTCCGCACTTCCCATGAGATCCGGCAGCCTGCGGATCTCGTACCTCGAGGGAGTGCTCGGTAGTTTGGGACAGAACCCACCTGGGCAGCTGACAGCGGCCCTCTAGAGCCACCAGACCCAGTAGCAGAGAGCCTCAGCAATGCGGCCCGCGGGAGACCGGCACCACGCCTAGCAGCTGGCACTCCGAGTCCCTGCGACCCCATAAGAAGGGAATCTGTCCCATGTGTTCTTTGCTAATAAACTCTATTCCGATGGAGTTTTATCTGTGTCCTGGTGCTTTCTCCCAATCAACCAGATTCATCCATCGCCTACTTTATCTATCAGGGGCACTGTGTTGCTTAGTCTGCCTCAGCACACATGCCCATGCAGCCTTTGCAACTTAGTCATTCTTGACCAGAGGCACCCGTTGCACATGGTTAAGCATGCTTTCAACAGAATTTCAGTAATGCCCAGTGACTCCAACACACGTTTAGGTAAATCAGTGGTCTCCAATAATGAGAGAAACAGAAATTCAATTATTTGTTGAATGCTGTGTGTGTGTGTGTGTGTGTGTGTGTGTGACTAAGGGAATAAAATAAATGAAAGGAAATTTTAAATGCAACTGGGTTGTGCAAAAACTAAAGACAGTGAAAACTAATCTGGGTTTTGAATTTTTTTCATTTTTATTTTTAAGTACATGGTGTGTGGGGGGTGGTATATGTACATGAGTGCATGTGCCCATGGAGGCCAGCAACATTAGATCCCCTGGAACTGGAGTTACAGGCAGTTATGAGCTACCCAATAAAGGGAGATTACACAGTCCTCCCCCCCTACCTCCCACACTCCCCACCCTACACTGCCCTGACTGGTCATAAACTCCACTCCTGCTGATGGACCTTATCAGAGCATTGTTAACCCCTGTTTTGAGCTCAAGAACATACCACCCCAACCATAAATCAATTCCTGTTCTGGAAACAAGTCCTCCTTGGGGGCCCTAAGCCCTTTACAAACATTCCTACCCAGCCCCCATATACTCTATCTCCAAAGCATTCCAGCTCCCACCCCTCACTGAGTAATAATAAAGCTCAATTTGAATTGTTGAAGTTGGTTGCTTTCTCTAATATCAGATGATTGTGCTGAGAGCTGAACTCCAGCCCTCTGCAAAAGCAGTACCCACTCTTAACAGCTGAAAGAGCTCTCCAGCCCCTAATTTTTTATTATATGTATGCAAGAATGTTTCAACTTTGTCATGGCCTGAAGAAAGTCAGTAAGACGCCAAACCAATTTGTGAAAAGGAAACAAATCTACATTCTTTGATCCCTTTGAAAAACAAGTAGCCTGAGTTTAAACTGGTATTTCTGTTTCAAACAGTCCACAACACAGTCTAGCTTTAAATAATGGAAGTCTCAAAAACGGAAACATATTTATTGTTAAAACACAGGCCACACCTTTAGGACAGATCCTACAGCTTTAATCAGGCCATATTTCCCCACAACTCTCTAAGTCTATACAGTGACTGACCCTCTCAGTTTATGGTACCTGGCTCTCCCAAGGTCTTTGTCATGGAGGGCTAAGTTGTTGTGAAACGTCCTGCCCACCCAGCAAAAGGTTATAAAAAGTCAGCTGGTTCCTTTGCTCTGGGGATTGGTCTGGAGACTCAAGGATTTTGCCCAGGTAAGAGGCTCTTCTACTTCCCCCACCCCAGTACCTCGCCTCCCCTCTCACTGTGATTGTCCTTGCTCTCAATCTCTCTTATTCTAACTCGTTTAAAAATATTTTATTTAATATGTATGTATGTTTTGCTTTCATGTATGTAAGTGCCCACGGGGGCCAGAAGATGGCATCCGATCCCCCTGAAACTGGAGTTGCGGAGAGTTATTAACTGTCATGTGGGTGCTGGGAACTGAATCCTGGTTCTCTGCAAGAGCTGCTCTTAACCACTGAGCTATCTTTCCAGCCACTCTTATTCTCACTGCTAATGAAGCATCTCTCCAGGCTTTAAACCGTAGCCTCTCCTTCCTTATAAGACCCCATCATGTTTAGATTTTCATAGATTATATTCTTTTTTTTTTAATTTTTTGGTCTTTTTGAGACAGGGCCTCCCTGTAGCCCCAGCTGTCCTGGATTCTCCATGGAGACCAGGCTGGCCTCAAACTCACAGAGATTCGCCTGCCTCTGCCTCCTGAGTGCTAGGATTAAAGGCACACTCAACCCTTCTCTTTTTTTTGAGAGTGGACCAGACTGGCCTCAAACTCCCAGAGATCTACCTGCTTTTGCTACCCAAAATGCTGAGATTAAAGACATATACCATTATGCCTGGCAAGACCCTTTGATTCTAATAAACCTCATTGAAGGGAATTATATGTCAGCTTCCTTCCTAGACTGACTACTAATGTTCTTTATATTTAACATTTATTCGAACTTTCATGTGTTTTAATTTTGCTTAATGAGTGTTGTGAGCACACCATGCCAGAAACAAATCAGACCTTTGTGTCTTTCCACAATGTCAGAATTTATTGAATAGCAATAAATTCACAAGGGTTAGCAGTTTTAATGCCAGCAATTTGTCATAAATCCACCTACCTTGGTAGCCTGGCCCAGGTAAATGCAAGTTATTTTATTCCTAGTTACTAATATTGACTCTCATATCACAGAGCACACAGTAAACACATCTACATATCTATATGCATATATACATATTTATATATATATATATATATGTGGGTTACAGAATGAATGTAAGTCAAAGAGGCTGCAGCAGAGTTCAAGGGATTTCAAAAAGTGGGCTTGGAGAAATGGCTCAGCAGTTAAGTACATGCACTCCTTTTGAAGTTACCGTAGTTGGGTTCCCAATGCCCATGTAAATGCCTGTAACTCTAAATTCCAGAGGTATCCGATTGCCACTCCAAGGGCACCTGCACTCATGTGCACATACACACTGACACACACATACACATAATTTAAATAAAAATCTTTTAAAAAGAGGTTTCAAAAATGGACTGAGTCTATTGTGATAACAAATCAGATGATTGCTGGGAAGGGAGGGGCTACTGGAGCTGCTAGAATCAGGTTTGAGGGCAAAACTGCAGAGGAGCAGGAAATGGGTCAGGAGCAGGAATGGCAGGTCAGGTCCAGGTCCAGAAGGGTAGACTGGTAGAGCAACAGGCAGTCCAGTAGGCTGTATCAGTGGGGTGGTGGGGTGGCACAGTCACTGAGCAAAAGTCAGAGAGTCCTCTGTGCTCAACTCAACGCACACACCAGATATCAGGCAATAGGTTGGTGTGGGGCAGGCCATCGCAATGTTAGGTGGCCATCAATTCATGGGGTCTAGGCAAGTGAATTGCATGCTCTTCTTGATCTGGTGTGCCAAAGAAGTTCTTGGGCCAGGATTCCTTGCTATGAATCCTTTTAATGAATATATGTTACGATATGAATATATTTTAGTATACCCATGTACCCCCCATAGTTTCAATTCTCCCCATTAAACTAATAGGGTGGCTCCCTTTTTATTCCCAGGAATAAATCATTTATCAGTCTGAGCTGGATAGCTGGTGCTTGAGAAACAATGCAATTTCTGATTCCACCCAGGGTTATAGTTGTCCTTCTCCCTCAAAATGGAGTCTAAAGGTGCTTTTAAAATGGAGTCTCCTAGGGCAATGTACAACCTGGAAAAAACCCACTGTTTTATACAATATGCAATAACAGAGTAGGGCATAGCCTGATTGCAACGAGATGATCTTATGTAAGACAAAAATCATCTTACCAATAACAGAGTAGGGCATAGCCTGATTGCAACGAGATGATCTTATGTAAGATAAAAATCATCTTACATTACTGGATGTGGGGTAGGTGTATTGCTCATGGCAGAGTGCATGCCTATAATGCATGAGGCCCTAGGTGTAATATCCATATATATATGTCTGACAATTATTTGATCATATAATATTAGGGTTCCAAACCACAGCAGCCCTCCCCTTCTCCAACAGGGCCTCAGGGGCCTTGCAAGCCCCTGAGAAAAGGGAACCAGGTTGATAAACACTCTGGTCTTTGAAGTCAAGGGAAACAGACTCTTCTAAAAGGCAGCTTGCCTTTCCTTTGATCTCTGAAGACAAGAAAAACAGATTCCCCCTTTTAACCAGAGATTTCAGGAGCTGCTTTAGTACAACAGTTTTTTCCTCAAGAGGACAAAACGAAACACTTCCTGACCCAGATCCTGACTGGCAGGGGATAGGGAGCAGGTTTTACAAGCCCCACTTTCCTGCACCCCCCCCAATTTTTTCCAAAAAATTTCCTGCCTTCTCAACTTTCCTGAAGCCCCCGCCCCCAAAAGCCCCAGCTCTCAATCCTGTGGGCTGACATTTTTCTCTTCCAGAAAGGGACTGTGTCCCCAGTGAAATAAAACTCTATCCCACTGAGTTTTATCTGTGTCTTGGTGCTTTCTCCCGATCAACCCTATTCATCCTTAGGCTACTTTTACCTATCATATACACTATTGTTTCAGTCTAACACTACACTGAATGTTTATGTAAAGTTCATATATTTAGATTTCACATTTATTTACTGAACCCATGCTTCAACCACTTAAGTAACATCAAACAGAAACTTTTGTGTTCTTGACTTTTGTACATTTCCATTCTATTAAAATTATAATGGTTCTTACAAAACTATTTTTTTCTTAGCTCTCAATTGTACCTAGAACACATTTAATGCACTTATAATACTTTAAAAATATTTTATTTTTATGTGTGAGTGTATTGCCTGCATGTATGTAAGTGCACCTGTGTGCTGTCGAGATGACAATTTAGTATCTTTGTATTTTTCCAGGAGCATGTACGGTTTTTAGAAGGTAAAACCAAGGGATAACACTTGGGTTTCAACACACTGGATGCAAACAGGGATGTTCATTTAACAATAACGGAGTGACTCCTAGGGCGCAACATTTAAGGAGGCAGAGGCTCCCACGCTGGGAATGCGCGCCTCCTGCCGGGGCTCAATAAATGGAATAAGGAACCAGGAGGGGACGTCGGCCCGGACAAACGCTGTTTGTTCTTTGAACTGACGGGTCCAGCACCGGCACCTAAAGCTCCGCTCTGACTGACACGTGCTGCTTCCGGAGGGGTGAGAGCCACGGAATCCAGAACGCCAGCTGTTGGGGCAGGAAACGCCCTCGCCACCACACCGGGCAACTCCTAAGGTTGCTGTAAACAGGCGCCGCCTTGGGAATCCCGGGCCCCCGACGCGCGGTCACCCGGGAACCGCCGGAGCCGGCTGCAGCAAGAAGTGTGTGGTGCCCTCGGCACCGCCTGCGCCACGGGGAGCGGGCGGGGCCTCCGGCAGTCCGCGGAGAGCAGCCCCGGGTATCCAGTCAGCAAAAGCTAAAGACAGCGAAGAGAGAAGCGGCGTCGACGCGCGCCTGGACCTTCAAGGGGACCGGTGGGAAGCCGCGAGGCCTACGGCGCAGGCGGACCCGGGGCAGCCCCGAGCGCAAGGACCCGACGCCGGCGCAGCGGGCGGCAAGCCGCCAGTTTCAAAGGCGGGCAGCTCGGCGGGTTTGCGGCAGGATGCGGTTGCACTGCGAGGTGGAAGTGCTCAGCCGGCACCTGCCAGTCTTGGGGGTCAAGAACCGGGGCAGGGGCGTCCGAGCGGTGGTGAGCTTGTGCCAACAGCCGCGGGGCACTGAGCTGCGGCCGGGCCCCAGCGGCCACGCCTGCTTGCTGGTCTCCACCATGAAGGACAAACGTGGGACCCGCTACGAGGTGCGGCGGGCTGCCGGCGGCAGTGCCTGTGGCGGGGGCCGGGTAGGCCTGTGGCTAGATCTGGTCTGAGCCTTGAAGAATGGCTGTTGTGCTAAGTGTGGGCAGTACCTTGGGGCTCTTTCTTAGGCCTTTTACTTTTCTACCTTATTTACGTGAGTTAATGCCCTTGGCTCCTAAGTCTGTATCTTAGCTAGTCCTCTCCCTTTGGACTTGAGTCTACTACCCACTAGATCTCTTTACTTAGATTTTTTTTTTGTTTTTACAGTGCTTCAAACTCAAAATACCTAAGAATTTTCTTATTTTGTTTTTTGAGGTAGAGTCTCATAATCCAGGGTGGCTTCAAACTCCCCATGTAGCTAAGGGTGAGCTTGAACTTCTGATCCTCCTGCCTCTACCTCCTTACTACTGGGATGTACCACCATGCCTGGTTTATGCTGCTTTGCTGGGGACAGGTTTT